AAGACTTGCTACCACGAAACCTACGCACAACACTAACATTCTCACCGGCACTCTCACGATCACTACAATCGTCGCTCTCCGACTCATTGCTCCCTTCACCGTCCGTCCCATCATCCGCTTCCTCTGCGCTCTCTCTGTTATCCCGCCTGACTTGGTCCATTGAACGGGACTCGGCCGTCACCCTGCTGTCATGTCCCTCCTTGCGCCCTTGTCCGTTGAGTGCGTAGCTTCTTTTGTAGTTGGCTGTTGATCCTCTTGGTCTTTCAATAGTGGGCTTGAAATTGTTCAAGTAACGTGTCATGTTTGGTGCGGCCGCTAACACCCGGTAAACCCTACTACAGGGTGTACCTTAGGGTAAATTACCCCAGAACAGGGTGTACCTCAGGGTAAATTACCCCCAGAACAGGGTGTAAGTAAGTAAAGTAAATTATCGTATCCGTTCCCGAAGGGAACTCACGATGGCCGCTAACACCCGATAAACCCTAGCGGCAGATGCAGCGCCTAACGGTGGGGGTGAGTGGGTAAGTCTCACAACCACTGGCACAAGTGCCGAAAGCGACCCCATTAGCTGCATCCATGTACCCCTTGTGGGTTGGCCAAAGACCATGATAGAGATACGAGAGGTACCTGGTTCAAGTCCTGCCTGGGAGCGGTTTTTCCAGCCGTGCTGCTACCCACAGTCAACTGGGAACTTGTGGCCAGGAACAGGGTGTACCTCAGGGTAAATTACCCCCAGAACAGGGTGTACCTCAGGGTAAATTACCCCCAGAACAGGGTATACTTCAGGGTAAATTACCCCCAGAACAGGGTGTACCTCAGGGTAAATTACCCCCTGAACAGGGTGTACCTCAGGGTAAATTACCCCCAGAACAGGGTGTAACTCAGGGTAGATTACCCCCAGAACAGGGTATACCTCAGGGTAAATTACCCCCAGAACAGGGTGTAACTCAGGGTAGATTACCCCCAGAACAGGGTATACCTCAGGGTAAATTACCCCCAGAACAGGGTGTACCTCAGGGTAAATTACCCCCAGAACAGGGTATACCTCAGGGTAAATTACCCCCAGAACCCGGTGTGTCAATTGCACTGCAATCATGTAAATATGTAAATTTAGTCACTGACAATGTTCGCAGTTCACGATTTTCAACAATTCGGCGGCGCTGTATCTTCGGCACGGAGCAAAGGTTAGTTTATCAGCAAAGCCGGTGTAAACATTTTAGTCAGTGGTTTAATTTAGGCATTTTGGGTGGGCGTCGAATATAGACGAAATTGCAAGTAAGGTGGCAACATATTTTATAGCAACTCTGAGTTTTACGCTTGCGCCATCACCAGGGCAAAAGGAAATGTACAGCCGAGATTGAATACAGCACCGACGGGCGCCGAAGAACTGCCAGCCTAGAGTTTGTCAACCCAAGCACAGCATACCAATGTATACACAATGACTCAACTGTGCATAGACTGTAATACATAAAAATAAGAACGGTCTAGGCTAGGAGGCTGACCCCCCCCCCCCCCCCCCCCCCAGTTCTTCAACTGTAGCTGTGGATAATTCGTATTATTACTAGTACACACGATACCACTAAAATAGAAGAAATCACATAGAAACGAGTTGTGAAGCAACTATCCATGACTGTAACAAGATAATAAGCAGTCAGAAAGTGCGATAACAGGGCACAAAACTGACATGTTACTGAGACATTCAACCACCTGAGGCCTAGCTTTCAAACAATTCATAACTCGTTTCCATGTGATTTCTTCTATTTTAATTATATTTATTGGCTCAGTATCCGAGTTAAACACACAATACCAATCACACCTGGGCTTGATGGTACCGTAAAAGCCCCTGTATACGCCCACTCGAAATTACGCCCACCCTCTATGTACACGCCCAGTCAGGGGAAGTCAACAGTTCTGTTTCAAAATAGCGCCCATGCCCATATATACGCCCAGGTATACCGGCAACACCAATACATATACAGGTACTGATTCCCAATACTTACTGCTATCCCTATTCCAAATATACGCCCGGTTCCAAAATAACGCCCGTGCCCTTGTATATGCCCAGGAAATCGAGGCTGCTATTCTATACGCCCGGGGCCTATACACGGGCTTTTACGGTACCACTGCTAGGCAGATGCTAGTGAAAACCTAACCCAAGTCCTCAGCCGAACAAGCTGCACAAGCTGCAATCTGCATTCAAGTGACCAGGTACATGCAAATGCCAAGCTAACTTTAAAATATCCGGCAGTATTGTGAAAGGAAATGTATCCAGTCGTCTTTCTAATGACGCGCATGTTCGTGTGTTTTAGGACTGAAGTTGGTTGTCCCAGCGAGGAATTCTAAGTTCGTATATTAGGACTGTTTTGATATTCTCTGTGCTGCATATTCTGCAGTTACATGTGTATTAGCACCTCACAAACTTTCGGCGTACTTTTATTTTCGGTATTTTCGGTGCATCTGTTTCATAATTAAAATTTCAATACACCGAACAAGCACTAACACAAATAATCCAATGAGAACAGTTACTGCTTCTCTGTACCGAAAATCTCTGTTCACCTAACCTGGCCTTTTGCCCTCATACCGAAAATATTGAGCGCCGAAAATTTCTGAAATTAAAGTACGAGTAGCACATGACAAATGGTCTTGAATGAACTCTACCCACCTACCCACCTACCCACCTACCCACCGACCCACCGACCCACCTACCCACCTACCCACCTACCCACCTACCCAATTTGCTTACAGACCCCGCCACTCCACAGAGGGTGCATTGGTCTTAGCAGTAAACCGGCGGCAGGCAGCCAGGTCCAGGCGGGAGTATACTGGCATTGCTATGCTCCATATGTCAAAGGCTTTTGATCGAGTCCAGCACGCAAGACTTCTAGACGAGCTTTACACCATTGGCATTGGGGGAGTTGCCCTCCAATGGTTCAGCCATCACCTGAGTGATCGAACACAACAAATTCGTGTGGTGGACAACTTGTCTTCTTCTGTTAACTGCACAAGGGGCGTTCCACAGGGGAGCGTTCTTGGGCCGATTTTGTTGGTGCTTTACACTCGCCAACTGGGTTCTGTGCTAACCCATGCTGTCCCTCATCAAGAGTTTGCTGACGATAATTGAATACTCGAACTCTGATATCGCACAACCCAGCACAACTCTCATGAAGGCAGCGACGGATGCTGCACTTTGGCTCAATGATATCGGCCTGCTCATAAATGCCAGCAAAACACAGGTCTTGTTTATCCAGCCCCATGGAGCAACTGTCCAACCACCTCCTGTGTTCTGTGGCACTGATAAGCTGGACGTGACATCCACAGCGAAGTACCTAGGCGTTGTTGTTGATGACATATTGACATGGAAACCTCATGTAGAGCATGCTGTAAGAAAGACTGCGCAGACTGTTGGCCAATTGTGGCGGCATGGGAGGTGCCTAACACTGTCGGCACGGCGGTCATGGTACATCAGTATGATAACCAGTCATTTGTCCTATGCATCGAATGCATTTTACCCTAGCCTTACAGCCGCACTTCTCAAGAAGCTCACTAAGATCAGTAAATCGGGCATTCGTGCTGTTCTGCGTTTGCCACCTCGTACCCCAACTGCGCCCCTCTTTATCCGCCTTAATATTTCCTCTCTTGTACATCTTTATAAGGAAAAGATTATTGTTTTGTTCACAGATGCCTCCACTCAAATACAACCATTCTTTTCTCCGATTTTTTTCGTTGAATTTAACAACCAAGATCAGGCTATTCGTCGCAACACCCGTGGCCAAGCCACGCACCTTCTACAAGTCCCTTTTATTCGCGGCCCTGCTGGGCGGTCGCTGATACAGTTTATGGGCAGCATTTACTGGAATATGCCTCCAGCTGACATTCAAAGCCTGGGCGGCACTGTGAATCTACGGTTACATTTGAGACGGGACCATATTGATGTACTTTCTGTCACCAACTGACCTCTCTGTTTCATCTATTCTCCAACACCCCGTATTCTGCATGAAATATTCTACAAACTCATAATTTCTCATAATTTTTCACAAAACGCGGCATATTTTCTATCAATTCATAAAATGTATGTCTGTCATACCCTAGATATTAGGTTAATCTTCATCATTAGCCAACCATGCAATTTCTTCATCATTTCTAAGAACTGGCCCCTGGCCTGTGAGAAGGCATCATTGCCTGTAAATCTGATGAAGTAAAATACAACAACAACAACAACAAGTGATGTAAATCACTTTCCAACTGTTTAACCCTTTAAGAGCCGCCCCATACTTGAATGCGCCGTAAACGACGCAACAACGCATTCAAATGCAAAACTTCAAAAGATCGTAACTCAGTCCAATCTCGCTCAAATCCATCGATGGAAATATCCAAGGCGAAGAGAAAACTCTCACCTGTCGGGAGAAACAATCCGCCAAGCGCTGCGAGCAACGGTTCCTGAAATAAATCACTCGTAAGTTGAGCCGCGATCGCGGCAGTTTCAAAAGCGCGCAGTGCAACTTTAGTATTGAGAATTTTGAGACTTTTCGTCACGCTGGTTTACTCGAATTTGCACGGGTTTCACTGTTGATATTGTCAAGACTACATAGCAAAAAAAATGGAACTCCACGATCGAGTAAAATGAACCGGGACGCAATTGGACGCATTTGGGGCATTTTTCGTACTGTCGCTGCGATCTAGCGCTGGATAGACGGTGCGCTGGCTATCATGATCGACCTCATTATCTTCCTCTCGCGGAGACCGTTCCAGGAAGCCCTAGATTGTGAGGATTGAGTGAGTAGAACTGAAGCTATGATCCGAGGAACACGAAAAAATGCAGAATTTTGAAAATTTCCTGTGGCTCTCAAAGGGTTAACCCACAATCTCACCTTCTCATAAATTTATCTCTTATTGGCGATAGTGCCATCGTGAGAATAAAGAATTCAAAAAAATTCAAAACAACAACAACAACAACAACAACAATACTCCAAGAACAACAGCAAGGTAGAACTGCGGCTGACCTGGCACTTCCACGCGGAACGTTTTGGAATCAGCACCCATTGCGCACGTGTAGTTTCCAGTTAGGCCGGCGGTGATACGTGACGGCCATACCAGTTTACTGCCGGTGCGGTAGTCTCCGTTTAAAATGGCACCGCCATCTACAGTGTTTGTGGTAACCGTGAATCCACGACTGCCATTCGTGATGCGGACTCCATTGAAGAACCAAATGGATTCTTTGAAGTCTAGTGGAATGCCTCTACTTTCATAGATGGACTTTGGCGCTTGTGCATTACAGAAGACATCCGCCATGTGCTCAGGAGCACTACAGCCATCGAGTACTCTGTACGGAATAGTTGTGTGCAGATGTGGCGATCGAGAAATATTCGAATTTGTTGCATAAACAGCAGTCGTTGATATGGTAAACGGAGCTACAAAAAACATAAAAAACAGGAATCGCACCATAAGAAAGATACATGGAGCAGGTAAGTAAGTGAGATATCCTCAATTACGTTATGTTGGGAAAGAGAAAAACACAGTGACACGGTTCGATCCTATGTTAAATGCAAACAAGTTTGCCACTTTGGGCATGCATAATCTGTGCCGCGTAGATAGAATATGACTGTGTTGTTTCATTGCCATTAAATCTTCGGCAGCTTTGGTATTCTTCCAGCTTTCCGCACCAATTTGACCAACTGCAAGGCATGTTGAAGTTTGCGAAAAAGGCATGCCCAACAAGCTATGAAGTTACGCAAGGTCACATCGGGCCTTTCCGTTCTAGTGACGTCATGTGCGCTGTATGCCAAGCGACTACTGACGTCTATAGACATCATGGGATTTGTGCAGCATATCGCAATGCATAGACCAGTGTATGGTATGGTATTTTTATTTGAATTCACCAATCGAACAGGCATATCTGCCTTCTTGCCGGGATGGCCAGAGCCAACCACGGCTCCTACTAATTGATGAATATGATGATGTGAAGCAAAAAAAAAAAAAAAATGGTACTTTGTCAGCTATAATTATTATTCTGCACTAAAATATGGAGAGGGCAGTATGTGGATTCCATATTGAAGGACTGTGCTACTTGTGTTACTTGTGTTTTATGATAAAGTGTACAGACTTACGGAACTCCGTCAAAAGAGAGTCCATCACAACAATCGATACACCGTTGGAAAGGCCTTGAGCTCAGCATTCTAGGGATATCAAGCTCTTTGCTAAAGGAGAAAGTTTGGCGGAGCGGTGACAGAGTGAATACAGAATTCGTCGCACTGAGCGATAGTGAATTTTTGTACATGTGTTTGTTGTTTTCTGAATTTTGCCCATGCATTTGCAGTTTTCTGTTGCGGGCCAGGGGATTTCCCTTTGGCACATTGCATGTGTAATGGACACCAGCGGAAGCACATTGATCTGAGCTTTGCAGCGCAGTTTGAATCGTGAAAATCGGCTGAACTGGAACAAGAAGCGGAAAAAGAATGTGAGGTCGAGTTTCTGTGACTTTCCGAAGCATGGTGAGGTAGTTTGGAGGGGATGCGAAAGTTGCACTGTCATGCGTATTGAGCTGAGAGCTACCATGATGGACTTGCTTGGTACTGATGCTTCCAGCAAGCCCAAGATGTGGATGAACATCCAGCAAGGTGAACTGAAACGAGAGAAAAGATTCTTTCGGACCTGTGCCGGAAACGACATCAGGAGAGTCAGTGTGCTGGGAAAGTAGCTTTCTGGGGAGAACAGGGTCGGCACGGAAAGGGAATTATCGCATTGCGCAATGACATAATTTGCACTGCGAACACCCCACACAGCCACCTGGCACCTGGGCATGGTCATCTGGGGGTGTTGTTGAACAGTGGATCGCTGATCCCAGCGTACTCACATGTATGACTCATACACTCCATATTTGGGAATGCCCAATGGGCTCACAACTGCTACACGCATGCACACACCGTAAGTTTCTAGTCATCGGTCCATGCTGCTTCCGCAGACATGCCCGGCGTAGGAGAAAGGAAAGTATCCAGAAACACAGAGACTAGCCTACACTCAGGCACATGACGGCAAGGTAACCAAAACTGATGCTCAAATGCAGTTGCCATGGCAACATGTGCATCTAGGTGGCCATGAAGTCGAGACCGTAGGTCGGCGGAGCTCCCTAAACCTCACCACCACTGCCACGATTCAGGTTGTGCGTGCTTCCCCTAGCTGCACCTCATGTTTGGCAGTCCATCTGTGACGTAAAAGTGTATGGTCGACATTTTTGGAGCTCCGATATTGCTGTCACAAGTATGTCCTCAACAGCCCTGGGCGGCTTATCGCCCCAGGAAATACGGAAACGCACTGTCTTCCTGGACCTTCCCGACAGCCTTTACGCGAAACCGTTTGGAGCGCGAAGCGGTGAGTTACTCACTGCGTTGGAATCAAGTACAGGTTCGAAGGAAACTGTCATTGGTATCCATTATGTAGGTTGGCTTTGTAGGCTGACTTTAAATCCTGTATCAGCTCAAGAAACACTGAGCTCATATGGAATTGTTGTGGCTGGTGAACGTATTTCTGCCACGCCCGCGATCAACACTAGGAACGTAACTACCCATGTTCAAGAGGTACCACTGTGAGTGGGATTTGAGTGTATTCAGAATGCTTTGGCTAACTATGGAGAGGTGCTTGGGATTGCCTTTGCAAAGACCCGCCTTCCCAGTGGTGTGTTCATTTTGAATGGGACTCGATTAGTCACCATACGCCGAAAAGCTGAGAAAACAACCATTCCCTCCTACATCTCTGTCTCGGGACGAAGGGTTCGGGTTTGGAAGGGTTCGGGTTTGGCACCATGGGCAACAGCAAACCTGTCGAGTTTGTGATAGAGTTAGACATGTTGCCAATAGAGTTGGACATGTTGCCAATAGAGTTGGACATGTTGCCAAAAACTGCACGTCCACCACAACCACGCAGACCACGACATCCCCGACGAATACGGATATAGCTAGCAGCGCAGAAAGTGCGGCGGATACGGGAACTGACCCCCGCACTTCCGAGAGTTCAACTCTGCAAGTGAACTCGGCCGAAACGAGCGCTTCACAAGCCAAGGAAATCCCAACAGGGCTCCCCACTGGCGAAACTACACAGCCGGCAAGAGATGCGTTCTCGACCTCCCCTGCTGCTCACCCAACCTTTGCTGCCGTGACCGCTGCCTCCTCTTGCTTACAGTCAAAATGCGATCTTTCCGATGATGCAGCTGCCAACCACACTCTAGAAAACTCAGAAAGCATAGCAGATTCTTATGCCGGCACCAACAGTATGGACTCGGCGCAGACTGAACAAACAAATAACGACACTAATCTTCACCACAGCGACGACCCTATACCAAATTCTGAACCCTCCATGGCGGCATGTTCCACAGCTTCAGCAACACAAACGCAAACTCTTCCGGCAGCATCTCCTCCCACGATCCAATCACCAGCCACTTCCTTGCCTTGTTCGTCCGTTTCCTCCTCCAAGAAATGTCGCCCCACCGAGTTTGATACATTGCGGTCAGACCCTACTGAAAGATATTTGAAAAAAAAGAAACACTAAAAAATTGTCCATGTGTGTCTAGTAAACTGTCAGAGAAGATCTCCGAACTGACATATCTATCAGCCTCAAACACTATTGATATTTTATTAGAAACAGAAACTTGGTTCAACGATTCCCATCATGATGGCCAAGCCTCCATTCCCGACTTCTTCCTACTCAGGAAAGATCGTGAAAGTGACACCCAGAGGCGAGGTGGCGGAGTTGCAATATACTATCACCAGTCTCTCAGTGCATTCATTTCCCGCAGGGCTGACTTGGAGCCTCCTCCTCCTATTGAATGCCTCTGCGTTGAACTTCACCTCAAAACAACATCGGTTATGCTTTTCAACTGCTACAGGCCTCCGTGGCAGAATATTCAGACATTTTGCCAGGATATATCTGGCAAAATTGAACTTGTGTCAAACACTTGCAAACATAACATCGTCCTTGCGGGCGATTTCAATGCCAAGTTGTCGACTTGGAATGTTGGAGACACCTCTACCCGCGAAGGCCTGTCATTACAAGATACCCTGGACAACTTAGGACTATATCAACTAATGCATGACACACCTACACGATTCTCCTCCACGGGAACTTCCAAGTCGTTGCTAGATCTCGTGTGCACAAAGTTCACAAACAACATGGCCAGCAATCGAGGACATCTGAGAGTTGTAATTTTTGTACTCCTCCGAGGTGTGATTTTTGGCGTGCTGGGCCAAGCACAAGGAAGCCATCTGCAAAAAAAACTGCAGAAAATGGTTGCTGTTTGATTCTTTGGTGTAATCTTTGTTTCTAGTCGAAGCTAGTTGCTGTTTGGAGCAGAAACGCTGAAATTGACTATTTTCTGCATGTACTCATACATGTACTCATGTACTCAGTCATGCAGTCTCACTCGTATTTTAGCTCTTTTTCTGGAATGGATGCTGCTCTGCGCCCCTTGGTGAACATTTCCTGCGCTCGTGGAGCAGCTGAAAAGGACCACTGATATGTCTGGTTCCTGGTTTGAAAGTGGAGAGTCGACTTTTGTGCCTTGAAAAAGGAGTAGAGAGCGATAAAGGTACGTCTGTGGCTTATTTTTGAGTGCTCCTCGTACATTTTTGATCGTGATAGAAATTCTCAGACCAAAGTCAGCGCGATGATGGCCGTACTGTTTTCTTGTGGATTTTTTAGTTGTTTCATCTCGTATCTATGTCAGTATCGTGATGGTGAAGTGGAGAGGGTGATTTTCTTCCCCTAGGCTTCGTTCGGCCGGCTTTGCTTCGTCCTCGTTGAAAAGTGATCCTGAAAAAAATGTCGATTCGAAAAATTATGTTGATTTTGAATGTACGTGATGACATGCGATTGCTGGCTATGCATTGACTTTGTGAAATTCACATCCACGCTTGCACCACTGGGTGACCATACTCCAGTTACTGTAAACCAGCCATTATTCTAACGAGGCGCATATATAACGATTTCCCAAAATTGACTAGTTTACGTGTACCAAAGGTAACGATTCTCACTCATTCTCAATGCTCAATAGGACAGTATATGTATCGATTTCTGTATAACGATTTCTATTTTAACGACAGATTTCTCCTCGTTAACTCGTTAGAGTTAGCACTTCGTTATCCATATATGGCTTTTACAGTATCTTCCACTTTGATGCATAGCCACAATCGGCCGACATGACACCCTCGAGGTGGGTGCCTGACTACAAGAATTCAAATTTCAAAGCCTTGTGTGATCACCTCACCCAGCAACCTCTCTCAGACTGTATGACTGGCGCGACTCATGGTGACAGCGCTCTATTTGCATGGCAAGGTGTTTTTTATCCACAGTTAATAACTATGTCCCTATGAAACTGATCACGAAGGGTAGCAGGACACGATCACGCCACAAACCGTGATTTTCCACCAGTCTTCGCACGCTTCACCGAACTAAAGAACGACTTTTCAAGCGAGCTAAATCTACGGGCCTCCTATGCGACTGGGTCGCCTATAAATTGCCTCGCAACGCTTTCGTTTCAGCCAACAAAACTGCAAGAGATAGCTATTACTCCCGCTTGGGACATGACCTTAATAATGGTTGCCAACTATAACATGGTGTAACCGTATGAAGCGGCTATGTGGCATTTCCTCACCACTTGGCACAATACCAACTCTAGTTTCTGCAAATGGTTGTGACATAGTGACTGACTCTGAAAAGGCAAACCACTTAGCCGACCATTTCGCACGACAAAGTCAGACTCAGAACCAACAAAATCACCAACGGCGTACGCAACAACCCACAGTGCCTTGCACACCACAAGCACCACAGCTCGAAAATTTGTTTGAATTGGACGAGGTTACTCCTGGCCAAGTCTTTGATGAAATAAAACTGCTAAAGGTCCTTAAGTCCTCGGGCAGACCCTTTCCTAACACTCTTCTGCGGGAGACCGCCTCGGTAATCTGTGATTCTTTGGCAACCCTCTTCAACATTTGCATTCAGACAAGCTCCTTCCCTGGTCAATGGAAAACTGCTGTCATCACACCAGTCCCCAAACCCAAAAAAATATCGCACTCAGCTGAAGGTTATTGTCCAATTTCTATCCCGCCCAGTATTGGGAAACGTTTTGACAAGCTGGTTAACCGACAACTCGTTCGTTTCCTGATGGACAATAATATCCTCAGCCAGACACAATTCGGATTTGTTCCTAAACGGTCCGCAATTGATCAACTCCTTGTATTAACACACAATAATCATATACTCTGCATTGGACCGGCGTTGTACATACAACATACGATATTCTTGGATTTCGCGAAAGCGTTTGACAGAGTTTCTCACCACGACCTTATCACAAAACTCACCTCGTTTGCCAAAACCTCGACCACCCGCTGGTTTGAAGACTACTTGATGGACAGACGCATTCAGGTTCGAGTTAGTGACTCACTGAGTGACCCCCGTCTTCTCTCTACTGGTGTCCCACAAGGCTCTCACTTGGGTCCAGCCTTATTCCTCCTACCAACACCCTGCCTTCGTTAGTGCAATCAGATCTGTATCTCTTTGCCGACGATACAGCATTAGGTAAGACATTGTCTTCCGAAGTACAAGAAGACCTGGACGCGTGTGGATCTTGGGCTCTCTCCGTCGGGAGGAGATTACAATGCTGAGAAGTCAGCACATGTGGTTTTCTCCTCCTCAACGAACCCTCCTCCCTACACCTTCTCCCTTAATAACCGTAGCATCCCAACACTCAACGACCACCGCCACCTCGGAGTCATCTTCGCTCACAACATGTCCTGGCAGCCACATTTCCTTTAAATGATAACGAAATTTCACCAACGTATTGTTCTGCTGTGCCACATGGCCTCTCGTTTACCGCCTGCCGCCATATTGGCGCTTTACCGCGGATATGTTCGGCCTGTGGCGGAATACGCTAGCCAGCTTTGGTTCTGTGGCGTACCTGCACGAGATACCGGATCACTGGACCGCCTTCAGGCAAAGGTCGCTAGACGATACCTGTACCGGAAAGGCTGCGCAGCTGAGTGGAGCACTTCCAAATCCGAGCTCTTTCGTGCAGCCGGTTTGGAACCCCTCAGTTGGCGCAGACACATTGGAGCCCTCTGTCTGGTTGTTAACGTTATAAAGTTTCATCCAAACCTTCTTCGTGTATGTCACTTCTCTCTTAGCTCCAGTGCCCGTCGCCCATTCTATCTTTTATTTGCTTCTGCTCAGGGTCCATATCGAAGCCGCGATGTTCTCTCTCATTCCCTAGCTGTATGGAACAATTTGCCAAAGGACTTGCATGACATTACACATGCTCATATATTCAAAAGACACCTAATGGGTCGTCCGTAATTATCGAAAAATTAAAAAATCATTCCTCGTGCAAAATTGTCTCTGAAACACCCACCCACCCCCCATTTTTTCCCATTAATTTTTAGATTTTTACCAGCTCGAAAATAAGAACTCCTGACCCCATGTTCACTGATTGCACCTACATGTACATGTATGTCAAGTACATGTAGATTGTAGTAGCTAAAATGTCAAGTACTAGTAGCTATTAAAGTAAGTGAGTAGGAGATCTACCGACGGCCATGCACGTCCTACAACTACATGCACATGTACATGAAGAGGCATGTACCGGTATATCATACTGGTGTTTGCGATCCTACACTACGTCTACAGTGCACTACATGTCAGTGCAACAAGTGTACGAAAGTCACTGAAGAAAGAAGAAGAAAAAAGTACGAAAAATCAAAAAATTAAATTCCGCCAGCGCTCTTGACCACCCTTTCTGCCTGAGGACGGATTTTTTAATTTTTTCGAAAAATACGGACGACCCCTAAAGCATCATTTCTCTCAGTACTGTTACGACATTGCTGGGATCCCTGGATTTTAAACTGTGTTTTTTCTTTCTTTTTCCCGTCGCGTGTGCATGTGCTGCTGTTGTCCGGCGCACCCCTGCACATACTTCTCTGACATCTGAGGCTTCATGTTATTCTTTTTCCCGTCGCGTGTGCATGTGCTACTGCTGTTGGGCGCACCCCTGCAAGTACTTCTCTGACATCCCAGGCTTCATGCTCTTGGTTGTTTGTTTTCTGACGTTTTCTTTTGCTGGCTGAGCTCCTTGCTCTGTGTTTGGTCCAGAGATACCCCCTGATTTAGGTACCATTGCCTTTGGGTTATCCGTCGTAATAATAAAAGTTATGATGAAGAAAGGAAAAGGACACAATGTTACGAGTTATGACAAGCTGTCCACCAATGTAACCAGATCTTATACAGTCAGCGTGTGCGACAAAATGGCACAAAACTGACAAGGAATACTGAGACATTCGGCGACCTGACACCTAGCTCCAACACTTCTCCAAGCCAACAACCTTCCAACTTGGAAGGCTCAGGCTCGGAATGGTCCAAGAGGGAAAGGAAAGCGCAACGAAGAAGAGCACGAGCTACGCATCACGGCAACAAAGAATGCCGAAAGTTACTGGATGATGACGAAACTAGTAAGACTATTGGACAGATCGGCCTTACTACAACTCGACGACGTAAAGCAACAGACCACCCAACTTGGGAGGCTCAAGTTTATGTAATAAACAGTGAGGGGAAGCTGAGCGAAGACGAATTGTGACAAACCGAAACGCCAACATCCTACTGAACTCCACTATCATGTATGATGGACTAGTTATGTACAATAACAAGTAGTTCCACAAGACGTACATTTCGCCGTATAGGTCATGACGGCTCATCAGGTGTGCAAATTTGAACTCGGATGGTGAGCCAATATAGTTATGATGAAGAAAGGAAAAGGACAAAATGTTACGAGTTATGACAAACTGTCCACCAACGTAACCAGATATTATACAGTCAGCGAGTGCAACAAAATGGCACAAAACTGACAAGGAGTACTGAGACATTCGGCGGCTTGGAACTAGGTGTCAGGTCGCCGAATGTCTCAGTACTCTTTGTCAGTTTTGTGCCAATTTGTCACACTCGCTGACTGTATAATATCTGGTTACGTTGGTGGGCAGTGTGTCATAACTCGTAACATTGTGTCCTTTTCCTTTCTTCATCATAACTATATTGGCTCACCATCCGAGTTCAAATAATAAAAGTGGTCTTTGTAAAAAAAACAAAAAAACAAGAAGCATAGACTTAGTGAGGTTAGTCAGGCACTTACAGAAGAAGACTTTGAGTTGGATGGTTGCGGAGTCGTTGCTGACAGCATTGCTGACTGTGCAGGTGTAGTCACCGGATGCTGCAGCGGTGACCGAACGTATATGGAGCGAGTTTGGTTGTGGAGAGGCAATTGATGCAACCTGGACACCGTTATGAAACCAAGTTGTGTTCGTCGGCTCACCACCGCTGTGTCCGCAGTCTAATGTAACAGGATCTCCCCTATTAGCAACAGCTGTAGGTTTGACGCGCACAATCTTCACAGGAGCTGTCAGTTCACAGCACAAAGAGAACAGAAGAAGACAGCAGATTGTTACATAGGGCTGAATGGAATATACCGACCATTCGAATATTCGTTCGTTAAGCTTTAACAGAACAAAAATTCGTGAAGTGACGGATATTCGAACTGAAAAAAATCTACTATTTGGTGCTACTGTAAAAGCAGAAATTTTCGGTGGTGTTATATTTTCGGTTACTTCGGTGCCGATAATTTTTACCGAAAATAAAACGCAACGAAAATGTTGGTGCAACCGGTACTGTATACATGTAGTACTAGTACACTTACCTGGAAAACAGGTTTTACCGAAATTTTCCCTCTACCGAACCGCCGATTTTGGAGAATACCGAAAATATGACACCAGCGAAAATTTCTGCTTTTACAGTATATGCCCTTCACTAGAGACTGACGACACGGACGAGCTGCAGTTGTCTTCACTAGAGACTGATGACACGGACGAGCTGCAGTTGTCTTCACTAGAGACTGATGACACGGACGAGCTGCAGTTGTCTTCACTAGAGACTGATGACACGGACGAGCTGCAGTTGTCTTCACTAGAGACTGATGACACGGACGAGCTGCAGTTGTCTTCACTAGAGACTGATGACACGGACGAGCTGCAGTTGTCTTCACTAGAGACTGATGACACGGACGAGCTGCAGTTGTCTTCACTAGAGACTGATGACACGGACGAGCTGCAGTTGTCTTCACTAGAGACTGATGACACGGACGAGCTGCAGTTGTCTTCACTAGAGACTGATGACACGGACGAGCTGCAGTTGTCTTCACTAGAGACTGATGACACGGACGAGCTGCAGTTGTCTTCACTAGAGTAGAGACTGATGACACGGACGAGCTGCAGTTGTCTTCACTAGAGACTGATGACACGGACGAGCTGCAGTTGTCTTCACTAGAGACTGATGACACGGACGAGCTGCAGTTGTCTTCACTAGAGACTGATGACACGGACGAGCTGCAGTTGTCTTCACTAGAGACTGATGACACGGACGAGCTGCAGTTGTCTTCACTAGAGACTGATGACACGGACGAGCTGCAGTTGTCTTCACTAGAGACTGATGACACGGACGAGCTGCAGTTGTCTTCACTAGAGACTGATGACACGGACGAGCTGCAGTTGTCTTCACTAGAGACTGATGACACGGACGAGCTGCAGTTGTCTTCACTAGAGACTGATGACACGGACGAGCTGCAGTTGTCTTCACTAGAGACTGATGACACGGACGAGCTGCAGTTGTTTTGCAGGCACAGTACCGGCACGTACAGTCAGTATCGCCTATACCGTTGGTGTGTTTGATTTTGAGCATTTATCACTATAAGTGATATATCACTATGACCGATACTGCATGCAATGACTGCGAGTGGGGTGTCAAATGACTCAGGGCACCGTGCACATACGCACTGCATAGCTGGCTATGTAGTGGATGCACATCCCACTGTTTGTCATTGTATCCTTTTATGTAACATGTATGCATTCATCCGGCCGCGCTGTGCGACATGCCAGTTGTACCGTACGCACTTTAGCTGTACTTGCCTGCCTGGCTTTTCCTTTGATCTCTCTGTCGTTCTCTGTATTCCCACACACTTGTGATTTGTAGTAACGAAGCTAGTTACAAGATGTCTTTGGTGCGTTTGTAGAACCACTACATGGTGTCAGAATTGGTTTTCCTGTAGTCTTTGGCCTCGTGAGCGGTGATGGCTCGTTTCAACCCTCCAGCGCCTTTCGACTTCAGCTCACCGGACCAGTGGCCCGCGTGGAAACTCCGTTTCACCCGTTTTCGTGCCGCCACCAAACTGAGTTCCGACCCGGGAGAAGCTCAGGTGGCCACTTTGTTGTATGCTCTCGGACCCAACGCCGACTCCTTGTTCGAGTATCAACTCGGACTATCCGAGGACGACAAGAAGAAATATGACGAGGTCGTCAGTGCTTTCGACACGTACTTCCGCCCCTCTACCAATGTTGTTCATGAACGGGCTAAATTTGAACAGCTTGTACAACAACCCTGCCAGACCGTAGAGGAGTTTGTCCGTGCTCTGTACAAAGCTGCAGAGTATTGTGAGTTTGCTGGCACGAAGGATGAGCGTATCAGAGACCGCTTCGTCGCCCACATGCTGGACAAGCGGGTGAGTCGGGAGCTGCAGATGAAAGACAAGAGCGAGCAAACTCTCGCCAAAGTTGTTGCGTTCGCACGGCACGCCGAAACTGTCCAGCAACAGGTTGCAGCCCAATCGCGCAGTGGCTTGGCCGCCGCCAGCTCGATTTCAGACGATGATGCCTCAGCCTCAGCTGTCCAGTCGCACCGTGGTGGTCGATCTATGCCGAAGAGCAGACCGCATGGTAGCTACAAATCTGCAGCAACGCCGCCTGCGACCGAATCGAAGTGCCCGAACTGTGGTGGAAGCCACCACTCGCAACGCGATCAGTGCCCAGCCAGAGGCCAGTGCTGCAAAGCCTGTGGCAAGCGCAACCACTTCGCGCGAGTTTGCCGATCGAAACCGTCCACCTCTGCCATCACGAACGACTCTCCGGACTCTCTATTTGTTGGCCACACGACGTGCGCACAAAGTGTAAGTGATTCACCCTGGTTGGCAGATCTAGCTATCGGAAAGAGTGTAGTCCAGTTCAAGCTAGATACTGGAGCTGATGTCTCTACCATGTCCGTGCAATCATACAAAACACTGCAGCCCAAGCCGTCCTTATCTGCTACTAGTGCCCAGCTGAGAGGAGCGAATGACCAGACTATGCAGGTCCTGGGTGTATTTGAGGCTCACTGCTCCTTTCAATCTCAGTCCACTACCATACCCATCTTTGTTCTAGATGGTGCCAGCACTAGCCTGCTCAGCCGATCTGCGTGCACAGCACTGGGTCTAGTCCAGCGTCTGGCTGAAGTGCAAGGTCCAGTCCCACTCGTACAGTGTATGGTTGGTCCTGCTGCGCAGATTCACTTAACTTCCGACGCCACACCGTATCACTGCCTGACAGCTCGCAGAGTTCCTCATCACCTGTATTCGAAAGTACGTGAAGAACTGCACCGCATGGAAGATGGCGACATCATTGCGCGTGTCGACGAACCCACAGACTGGTGTTCGCCTATGGTGCCCGTCCTCAAACCTAACGGCAAGGTACGCATCTGTGTCGACCTGAAGCGTCTTAATGCGTCTGTCAAGCGGGAGACATTTCAGCTGCCAACGTTAGAAGATGCCCTGTCTTCACTGGCCGGAGCGACTGTGTTCACGACATTGGACACTGCTAACGGATTCTGGCAAGTCCCACTCAGTCCCGACTCTGCCCGTTTGACCACCTTCATCACGCCGTTCGGCAGGTTCTACTTCAAGCGACTGCCATTCGGCATCACATCAGCACCTGAGATTTTCCAGAAGCGTCTCACCAACCTTCTGGACCAGCTCCCCGGCGTGTTCGTCTACATGGACGATATCATTGTCTCTGGCCGTACGCGAGAAGAACACGACCGTAACCTAGCTGCCGTACTAGACATCCTGCAGAAAGCCAACGTCACGCTGAACATGACGAAATGTCACAAGCGTCAGGCCGAAGTGAAGTTCCTTGGTGACATCTTCTCCGCCAAAGGTCTCCACCCTGACCCAGCGAGAGTGTCCAGCGTCGCTAATCTGAAGCCGCCCAAGAACGTCACGGAACTGAAGCGCATTCTCGGCATGTTCGCGTTCATGTCACGCTTCATTCCCAATCTCTCGGAAGTCAGCGCTCCACTGCGTCTTCTACTGGGGCATGACACCGCATGGGAGTGGTCTGCTACACAACAACAGGCCCTGGACAAGCTCAAACAGCTTGCCACCAATGCGCCCTGCCTCACGTTCTTCGACCCAACCAAGCCCACGGTCATCAGCGCTGATGCCAGCAGTTACGGCTTGGGAGCTGTCCCATTGCAGGAGCATGACGACGGAATGCGCCCCATTGCATTTGCCTCACGCAGCCTCACCACTACTGAGCAACAGTACGCGCAGATCGAGAAGGAGTGCTTGGCTGTTGTCTGGGCTTGTGAGCGATTCCACGGCTACATTTACGGCAACTCGTCCCTCACTGTCCAGACGGATCACAAACCACTCATCCCGCTGATCAATACGCGTGATTTGAACCGTGTCCCGATGCGATGTCAACGCCTCCTGATGCGCCTGCTCTCGTACAATCCAGCCGCCGTGTATGTCCCTGGCAAAGAGCTAGTTGTTGCCGATGCTCTGTCTCGCGCTCCGCTCGCCTGTGACGACACGCCTAGTCTCCAAGACGAGATCAGCATCAACCTCGCATCTTACATCGGCGAGATCGTGTCGGATGGTAAAGCCCGTGACATTGCTGACGCCACCACACAAGATGAGACGCTCAAGCAAGTCCTCCACTTCGTCCAACACGGATGGCCGTGCAACCCACGTGATGTCGACGACACTGTGCGCCCATACTTCCATGAACGCCAGTTACTGTCCTGTGAGCAAGGTGTGCTGTACCATGGCTTCCGCATCGTCATGCCACCCTCTCTGCAGCCTGAGATGCTCGAGAAGCTCCACGAGGGACATCAAGGTGCAACGAAGTGCAAGTCTCGCGCCCGCCATTCCATTTGGTGGCCAGGCTTGTCAAGGCAAATCGACACGATGGTCGCTACGTGTGAAGTGTGCACCAAACACCGCGTCCAGTCGACCGAACCACTGCAACCCGTCCAACGCCCAACACTGCCGTGGCACACGGTTGGTGCAGATCTGATGGAATTCAACGGCACGACTTACCTCGTCATTGTTGACTATCTCTCGCGTTATCTCGATGTCGTACCGCTGACTGCCACAACCTCGATTGCTGTCATCAAGCATCTGCACCGCATCTGTGCCGAGCATGGTTTCCCGTCCACCTTGGTTACAGACAACGGTCCTCAGTTTGCCAGCGAAGCGTTTACTGAGTTCTGCACAGCAAACGACATCACCCATCGCACTTCCAGTCCACGGTATCCTCAGTCGAATGGCGAAGCGGAACGTGCAGTTCGCACCGCCAAGAATCTCCTCCGGAAGGCCGAACGCCTGCAAGATGCACTCTTGGCTTACCGCACGACACCGCTGAGCAACGGCTATGCCCCATGTCAGCTGTTGTATGGCCGCCAGCTCCGTACCGGTCTACCTGCAACGACTGAACAGCTGGAACCGAAATGGCCTGATCTCCCTAGTATTCTGGAATCGGAAACTCAGTCCCAGGAACAGCAGAAGTTGCACTACGACCAACGGCATGCAGCTAAGCCTCTCGCGACTCTACAGCTTCATGACCGTGTATTCATCACCGATCTCGAACGGGAGGGCAAGATTGTAGAGCAAGTGTCCAATCGTTCTTACCTCGTTGAGTCTGGTCACTCTACTGTTCGCCGCAATCGTCGTCACTTGATCCGACTGCCACTGCTAGAAGCAGAGAAGCCGACAGTCGAGGTTGAGTACGGTGGCACAGCAGCTGATCCAGTCCGTCGCTCTGCTAGAGCTCCTCAGCCTGTCAACCGCCTCATTGAATCATGCTAATTCAGCAACGTGCCGAGACGTATCTGCCGTCGTCTCTGCACATCACTCTTTCACTGCAACTTGCTCTACAAACAATACCTACATTATCGAATAGTCTTTGGACTCCTCATCTTCTCTATTATAGCCTGTTTAATCTCAGAGGGGAGATGTAGTGGATGCACATCCCACTGTTTGTCATTGTATCCTTTTATGTAACATGTATGCATTCATCCGGCCGCGCTGTGCGACATGCCAGTTGTACCGTACGCACTTTAGCTGTACTTGCCTGCCTGGCTTTTCCTTTGATCTCTCTGTCGTTCTCTGTATTCCCACACACTTGTGATTTGTAGTAACGAAGCTAGTTACAAGATGTCTTTGGTGCGTTTGTAGAACCACTACAGGCTACAGCTCATGTCACACAACATCAGCATTTCCTCACGATGGAGGCATATTTGGCAACTTGTACAAGCAGAACTCACCAAACAACACTGGACAAGTTAGTTCTTCACGAAGAAGTAACACCCTGTTCTCCTCTGTCACCACTTGATTTTACATCAATCACTATAATTGTCGCAGTAATGTAGTTAGTGTGTGTTAGCATCCACCGATCACACTGCCATGTTTGCATCTGCCACGCACCGCTGCATCAGTGCATTGCGCACTGCACTCACACTGCCAGCGCATAGATTTGGGCACGCTTAGCCTGACGTCACACAACTGCTTCCTTTGAACTTTTGCTCACTGCACTCACACTGCCAGCGCATAGATTCGGGCGCACTTAGCCTGACGTCGTACAACTGCTTCCTTTGAACTTTCTCTTTCTTTCTTGCTGTTGGCTTCACTTCAAAGTCTAATTAGTGGTGACTTTTAGCTTGTGCCAGCATCACATTTTCACCCTCCATCCCTCCCATCTTATCATCTTGCTAATGGTACTAGGGAACATTTAGCTCTATCGCTCCTAACTGGTCACTTGCTTCGCTAGTTGCGGCTCTTCACGAGCCACTTGTTGCCAATTGCATTGGCTTTGCCTTGCAACCCCATTGTGGCACAATGTGGGTTTATTGTGGCTCCTCGCGAGCCAGTTGCTGCCAGTGGCGTGGCATTGCTTTCCAGCTCTTCGAGCTTTTGCATTACAAGATCAGTTACTCGAAGCAGCACACTATCTCCAAAACAATTCCTTGTTGCCTTGGGCTGAGTATGAGTGTGTGAGGGATATGGTGCTAATAATGCAAAAATAATGTAATAAAGGTCTTTTGAAATATGAATTTGATCACTATAGGAGATATAATTATTACTATAGACGATTATTACCAGGGATGAATTTATCCGGTATCGCATCGCAGTTTGCGATTCAAAATCGATCGAGTGCGACTCAAAAATCACAGCGACTCGCAGGAAACTGCGATGCATAAACGGCACTGCATACTAGCTCGCGCAGTCAGTAAAAGTGATGCTGTGACTATGTCGTACACTCACTACACCTGTACAGTGCACGGACCCCGCTTTTTTCTCGGGAAGGTGTGATTTCTAGTACATGTACCTGTGAACTGTGGCTGGCTCCGCGTGCACATACTGACTGCATGTACTGGTGTCCTACTTGAACTACACGTACCACTTTGCGCGGCTTTCATTCAGTAAGTTCAGTAAGTTCATGTACATGTACTTTCCGTACTGACAAGCATCATCTTTCCTCCACGATCTCGGCGGAGGTCTTGTTGTTTGTTTTCTTCTTTCTGGTTCACTTACCTCTTTTCGTGATATTATAGCTTTCTGCTTGTAGCCAGTCGGTCTTTCTGGTCGTGAGGAACTTTTGGAATCACGTTCGTCCTTCTCTCTGACAATTGTCAAAGCTGTAGTTTTTGTCTAGTCTGGTTCTGCCTCCAACATGTCTGTACGACAGAGTACCTTTGAGAAGTGGGTGGCAGAGGTCGATGTCCAGAAGAAATGGCTTGGTTCTGAGAAAGCTACAGGTGCAGCGGTGACGCTAATTTTCTGCCAGCTATGCAGACAGCACGAGTACTCCCTCCGTGGACTGAGAAATTTTAGTCGGTCTTCGTGGAAGAAAAAGTGCTAATCAAAAATCAAGGACTGCTACGCATTTTGGCGTTTGCGTCGCGAAAACTGCTATGCAAAAAATGACAGTAAATTCATCCCTGATTACTATACGCGATAACTGTGTATACTTAGTTATGGCAAATAAAAATGAATTTGAGAAATTGATCACTATATCCGGTATAATTATTACTATAGCCGCCAACCTTATAGGCGATATGTACTGTATGCACTGCCATCACTGTCCACCCGCATCCCCAGCAAGAACTATGTCATACTATAGCTTACTGTTAATCCGCATCCCCAGCAAGAACAATGTCACACTATTACACGAATGTCGACTGGGATGCATTTTCAAAATAGAAGCTGCGAGATAAATTGCGCACGAATAGACGTACAGATTGTATGGAAATACATGTCAACCGTCACATCAGTCTCAAATACGCTCGCGCAGCCACCCATCCAGTCTGTAGGCCGGTACAGTTCCATCGGACCACTCTTCATCGCTGCCCCAAACGCCAGTTGACCGCAACGAAAGTCGCAGGCGTCGTAGCTCATGCACCTTTCATCCTATTGCTTCGGCGATTGTTCCAGATGACAGCTAAGGGTCTTCTCTTCTTCCTAAAAAAATCTTTCTCTCCAAACGACTGAGAATTGACCAAGCTACGATAGTTTAAAACAAATTGAAAATGTAGAATTTGTCGATCATCCGTGATGGACAAATTGATATATTAAAGTATGTGCCGTCCGTAAAGAGTTTTAATGGCTACGACACTGCCTCGTCACTGGGTTCTATGACGCCGGCCATTTTGGGCTTTTTCCGTTTCTTCTTGCTGGATTACTTGACCTAGCAGTCATTCGTTGAGGGAGCCGAAGAGGAAAATGACCTAGCTTCATTCTTTTTGTTCTCGTCTCAATGCGGGTATTGAACCGAAACATTCACAACAAGTCTCGTTTGAGACAACAGTGTTGCCACACGTTTTAAGTGGACAAAGATCAGGCTCTTCAACAGCAACATTTGGTGAATTTCTACAAGTTGAGGAGCATAACTTTAAGTATGTTTTGAGAATTGATGATCAAATGAGCAGTGTGAATGACAGCGTAACATCAGTTTGTGCCCACATCCATACATTTTAACATTTTACTGACTTTCCTGATCTATTTCTCTGTTCTGGAGCGTGCTTGAAATGCGAACAGCGCATGTGAAAAGAATCAGGCATTCACACAAGACACGCTGTATACAATAATCCAAGAACTTTGACTGACCTTGCACGTCTACGCGGAATGTTTTGGAATTGGCACCCATTGCACACGTATAGTTTCCAGTTAGGCCGGCGGTGATACGTGACGGCCATACCAGTTTACTGTCGGTGCGGTAGTCTCCGTTTAAAACAGCGCCGCCATCTTGAGTGTTCGTGGTAACCGTGAATCCACGACTGCCATTCGTGATGCGGACTCCATTGAAGAACCAAATGGACCTGCTGTAGCCCAATTGAAAGCCGGACTCCAGAAAGATCGGCACCGGAGCTTGGCTGTAGCAGAAAACGTTGGCAATGTGATCGGGTGCAGTGCTGTTGACCAGTAGCCTGTATGGGGTGTTGCTGTGAGTCTGCGGGTAATGACGCATGTTCGCGTTCGTCGCGAAGTCAGCTGTCAGTGTGATAGTGAACGGTTCTGCAAACACGAACAACGTCAGAAGAAAGCCGTGCGGGGTACGCCGCACCATTTTTAATCTAAGTCGGATATTGGGCCAGCAATGCACTATAAGTAGAAGTAGAAGTAGAAAAACGTATGGGAACGAGTTTTGAAGCAGCTTTCCACAACTGTAACAAGTGAGAAAGTGCGATAACAGGGCACACAACTGACTGGCTACTGAGACATTCAACGGCCTGAGCCCTAGCTCTAACACATCTCCAGTGCGCAAATACACCGCCTACATTCCGGTGATTTTTCTTCCATTTTTAAAAATTGTAATTTTATATTGTTTAAGGACTCCCCAAAGGCTTCTCACCTAGTGTGGGTATTGTTGTAAAATGATGTGTTGTTTTCCTGTGTGATGGCATTCCCCAAACCGTCTCGTCTAGTTGCGTGCATGTGTGATATGAGCATGCGCGATTTTGTAGTCGAGAGTCCTTTTGTCAGTCTTCTTGTTCGTCCCTTTGAGTGTTGTCCCCATTTCCGTAATGTCAATATAAATAATACATAACAAACAAGTCTTGTCCTTTGTGTCCTGCGTCCCGGGGAACGGAACGGCTGAGATTCCGTTACAGGATTGCCCTAGTGCAACACCCATACACTATGTGATGAGCAATAGCCGACCAACTAATAGGAAAGAGAAGCAGTATAGAGCAGCCATCCAAAATGAACTTTGTGAAAACGAGATGCCATTCATAAGTACGAAGTTACGCACGGTCACATTAAAACACCTGCCATGCCCACCGCCAGTTTCCAGTCAGCGGTCCTTGCTGCTTCCGTGGCATACCCGGCATAACAAAAGTAAATCCTGTCCGTCCCCGGAAAAGGGGAGCGGAAAATATCCAGGAACACAGAGACTAGCCTACAAGCATACAAAGGTTGTCAAGGTAACCAACGTTGTAACGGAATCTCAGCCGTTCCGTTCCCCGGGACGCAGGACACAAAGGACAGGACTTGTTTGTTATGTATTATAATTATATTTGACATTACGGAAATGGAGACAACACTCAAAGGGACGAACAAGAAGACTGACAAAAGGACTCTTGACTACAAAATCGCGCATGCTCATATCATACATGCACGCGACTAGACGAGACAGTTTTGGGAATGCCATCACACAGGAAAACAACACATCATTCTACAACACCTGCCCCCTTGATGACATTCCACAAAATAATAAACCGATACCACGTTCCACATGCACAACAGCAAAAGGACCACAGCAAAACAGAAAAACCAAGAGCCGATGCTCTAAAATAAAATCCGGGCCACGACACAGGGCCAAACCAGGCACACAAGGCCAACCGAAACACCAAAGCCGAAGCTCTCAAAATAATAATACCATGCGGGCAGCAGCGCAAAATAAATCTAAAACACAAAACAATGGAGAACAACAGAACAAATAGAAGAGCAACAGACCAACAACAACCAAACTGAAACAACACAGCAACAAGCAACGAACTGAACAGATAGAGAACAACACAGCGAGCAAGACAGCAACAAGATGAACAACAAGGACAGCACACAGTCAGTGATGCCAGACTCGTCCACTGTCCTCTGGCGAGCCACGGCCACACGCTCCGTCGCGGTTCCTGCCGTCTCAGGCTCCAGTCTACAGTTCTAGTCCACCACCTTCTCTGCCTCCTCTCCGCGTCGTCTTTCGCTCCCACCAGCTCCTCACCTCCTCCGCTCCCACGCTCTGTTTACTTCAAAGTAACAGTTACTTCGTTGTTGACGACGACGGACAGACTCACTACAAACTAACTCATCCTCTGCGTCCCGGGTTTTGGCACCACGTTGTAACGGAATCTCAGCCATTCGGTTCCCCGGGACGCAGGACACAAAAGACAAGACTTGTTTGTTTTACCTCATTTATATTGACATTACGGAAATGGAGACAACACTCAAAGGGACGAACAAGAAGACTGACAAAAGGACTCTCGACTACAAAATCGCCCATGCTCATATCACACATGCACGCGACTAGACGTGACAGTTTGGGGAATGCCATCACACAGGAAAACAACACATCATTTTACAACAACATTGATGCTCAAGTCCAGTTCTCCTGCCAACATAGACTTAGTGAAGTTGGTAAGGCACGTATGGACGAAAAAGGCAGGACAAAATGCTACGAGGTTATGACTAACAGTCGAGCAAGGCAACCAGATCATACACAGTCAGCGAGTGCGACAAGAAGGCACAGCACTGACAAGGTGTTGTGAGACATTCAATGACCTGACAATCGGCTCGCAACACACATCCACGAGGCGCATGCCAACAACCTATCCAACTTGGAAGGCTCTGGCTTAGGCCTTGTCAGCACACTCACTGACTGTAAGGTTATATAATTCGGTTACTTTAGTGGACACGTGGTCATAGCTAGTAACATTTTACTACTAGTATCCAAAGAACTAAATATTGCGACTTTTGTGTATGCGTTGTATCTCAACGATACCTCACTCAAGACTTCCAGGCGTACCGCACACAAGCACTCTCAGTCTCAACCAGCACGGGCATTACGAGTTTTTAGATAGATAAACATTACAGTAATGATGGAATAGAATGCATAACGGCATAACGGGTATACGGGTAAGAGAGCTATTGCGACTCTGAGAGAACAACGAAAACCACCAAAGAAAACAACCAAGGAACAAAACCACTCAAAACGCTGTCATCAGCAAAACGTGCCAGTACCGGTGCACACACGGCGACTCAAGCGAACTCAGCGTACCAAACACGCAACAAATAAGGCAAGCCAGATATCGTGCACGCGTGAGATGACCGTACGACGGTATACACGACTGCAGAAACATGGCAGCGGCTCGTGCACGCACACACAAAATAAATAAACAAATAGAAATTCAAACTACAATAATTAATCCGAAAGGAAAGAGGAAAGAGACGTATGGGAAGCCGAAGGGTTTCACCTGTCAGTGGGTGCTTGCACCCGATATGGGTGAGAGTAAACCCTGTCAGATAGTGACACATCGTAGGATTACTCAGCAGCGGAACTTCACTCAGGGAGAATAGTAACAAAGCACGTAAGTAACTCTAGCAAATCGTGAACTCTACTAGCAAACGCACGAAATGTTCATAATTACTCAGACGACACTCGTGGCCAAAGACCAACAGGTAAGAGAAGTTACCTAATACAGAATCAATTAGACTAAATCAATGGCATGCAGCAACAGCTAGCAGGAAAACAGGCAAGGAGTCGAAGTCGTGACGAGATCTCAGGACGTGCAACGGAAGACCTTTTCAACGCATTTACAACAGCGACAGAGCTTTCGGCCATGTTTTCAATTCATTGCATTCCCAACTCATCACAACCACGCGCTCTTCAGCCGAACCATACAGACACAGCAAGGACACTTCCGTTGAGAGATAATATTGCTCCACGCCTCTAGACAGCTGTTTCGCTCCCTGTCGGAGCTCATCAGTAGAGGATGATAATGGAGGAATGATCATTCTTATACACCAGAAATGGCGCAAGTGCGCGCTTTCCACATACAGTCGTCCCTCTCTAATCCGGCACTTTATAATCCAGCACCCTCGATAAACCAGCACAATTTGCAGTAGCCAAAATGTCCTCTTCATGTACATTTCAGCAGTAAATCAGATTTGTTAATCCAGCACCCTCTCTAATCCAGCAGATTTTCGTGGCACAAATGGTGCCGGATTATAGAGGGACCACTGTATATCAATGGCATATGCAAGCTGCTAAAATGGTAAAGTGTGAGAACAGCGAAAAATAATCATAGTACTCGCTCATTGGTGGAGAAACACACCACACAGGCGCCGAAAATCCTACGCGGAATACTGATGCCAATGGAAAGTACATGTATGTTGTTTATTATTATGATGTTGCAATGTCCATGTATGCAGGCGAGGCGAGACTCACCGCCGAGATCCCCCAACGCGACAGGCTCGGTTGCCGTTCAGGATTCACACCGACCTGTCCGCCCGTCAACAGGATCGACAGCGGGAGGCCCGACTGATGCCGAAATATGGCCGAAAGCTCTGTCGCAATATTTAGTTCTGAAGTTTTAATGCGCCGTTAGTGGCAGAGCAGAGTGGACCCGAAGAGTCGGTGAAGAAAGAAGGAGAGATGACAAGACGAGTCGGTGAAGAAGGCAGGAGAAAAGCAAGACACATCTGCAACATCTTTGTTTGATCAAACTGAGCTGAGCTGCTGATACGAAACGTCGACCAAGCATCCCTGACTGGAGTGAATGCCCCAGCTGGCCTCTCATTTGTCAGTGGTTGCTACTAGGCCTGTTGGTTTCACACTCACGACTACAAGTTTCCTGGTGTGCATCGACATCGGCATCGGTGGGGCCTCCCGCTGTCGATCCTGTTGACGGGCGGACAGGGCGGTGTGAATCCTGAACGGCAACCGAGCCTGTCGCGTTGGGGGATCTTGGCGGTGAGTCTCACCTCGCCTGCATACATGGACATTGCAACATCATAATAGTAAACAACATACATGTACTTTCCATTGGCATCAGTATTCCGCGTAAGATTTCCGTCGCCTGTGTGGTGTGTTTCTCCACCAATGAGCGAGTACTATGATTATTTTTCGCTGTTCTCACACTTTACCATTTTAGCAGCTTGCATATGCCATTGATATATGTGGAAAGTACGCACTTGCGCCATTTCTGGTGTATAAGAATGATCATTCCTCCATTATCATCATTATCATCCTCTATTGATGAGCTCCGACAGGGAGCGAAACAGCTGTCTAGAGGCGTGGAGCAATATTATCTCTCAACGGAAGTGTCCTTGCTGTGTCTGTATGGTTCGGCTGAAGAGCGCGTGGTTGTGATGAGTATCCAAAGAATTAGTTTTATTATCCATAAATACACTGGCTCACAATCCGAGTTGAGGGACTTACTAGAAAATTTGAGTTGTATGGTTTTAGAATCCGAGCTTCCCATATTGTTCACAACACAGGTGTAGTTCGCCGAACTTGCAACCGTCACTGCCCCTAGGTCCAGTGAGTTTGGCTGTGACACAAATTCTTTATGTAGGATCCCGTTCACTAACCAGGTGGTGTTCACCGGCTCACTCCCCGTGTAATCACAGTGCAGTGTGACTGTGCCTCTGGCTACTGCATGCGTCGACGGTGTGCTATACACAATCTTCACAGGAGCTGTCAGTTCACAGCACCAAAGAGAACAGAAGAAGACGGCAGATTGTTACAAAGGGTTGCATGGAATATACCGAACATTTGAATACTAACTTAGAAGTTGCGACTTCGGCGGTAATAGTCATGAAGTTGATTTTGTTCCAACGTCTCTCCAGGCCAAACCCTCTGTAAGTTTGTATCCCTGGTGATGGTTTGGCCTGGAGAGCAGTATATAAGTGGTGTTCTTCAGGTACAATCTTCCTCAGCATACTCAAGCTCAACTGATGAGGGGTGAATTCCCCGAAACACTGTGTATTGAGCAGGGAGTGGTGCTTTCTTGCAGGTTTGCAGAGTGGAAGGTGCGACGTGCTCCTCGTGTGCTCCGGATGGCAGTCGTGAGTCAGTCAAGTGTCAAGTTCGGCAAGAAGCGTGTGCTCCTCGTTGGAGCAACCAACTTCATGACTATTACAGCCGAAGTCGCAACTTCTAAGGTCGTATTGTTGTCCCTCACGCGGACGTGCGACTAGTTGTTGGAGGTGACAGCGTTGTGAACGGCTATACTGGCTCTCAACATCTGTTTAGCACAGCTCCATGAGTGACTCCGACTCACACTGCTACCTGGGGCTTCACGAAGTGTTTGTCGCGCTGGAAACAAAGTGTTTCTGTAAGTTTGTATCCCTGGTGATGGTTTGGCCTGGAGAGCAGTATATAAGTGGTGCTTTTCAGGCACAATCTTCCTCAGCCTACTCAAGCTCAACTAATGAGGGGTGAATTCCCCGAAACACTGTGTATTGAGCAGGGAGTGATGCTTTCTTGCAGGTTTGCCGAGCGGAAGGTGCGACGTGCTCCTCGTGTGCTCCGGATGGCAGTCGTGAGTCAGTCAAGTGTCAAGTTCGGCAAGAAGCATGTGCTCCTCGTTGGAGCAGCCAACTTCATTCGAATACTCGTTTGTTAAGCTTTAAGAGAACAAACATTCGTGAAGTGACGGATATTCGAACTGAAAAAAGATCTACTATTTGGTGATTTGTGGGGTGGAGGTGAGGATGGGGGTGGGGGGGGGGGGGGGGGTAGAAGGCTTATACTCCGGTGAAGTAAAAGTAAACTATCGTGCCCGTTCCCGAAGGGAACTCACGACAGTAGATAGGAACTATCACTCAACATATGGCAAACATTTTGAAACCCCCGCGGTTGTCGACTAACAAGGATAGACTTGCTACAAGGTTAATCGCCAGGTAAGGAATCTTTATGAAGTTTACCGCTTCTCAGTTTCCGGCATACCTAGTTTCCGCCATACCTAGTTTCACGTGTTGAACAATGAAGTCTAAAGCGGGATTCACAGAATCTTTTTTTGCGATGCGACACGCGATGCGACTCGATCTGCGATGGACGCGTGCGATGCGAACTCGCGAAATACCATTCACAGAAGAAGTGCTGATTTGGGTACGTCACCATGGTATTCGCGCGGTTTGGTACAACTTGTAAAAATTTATAGAAAACTCTTGAACCTTTGTACAACTTTGCTGTAGAAAAGGCCAACATCGTACGCCAAATCGCTTGTCGCAACGCAAAAGTTGAGCCAAGCTCAAATTCCGCGATGGCCCTATTGCGGCAGTTGCGTGGGGTCCGCGGTGGTTGCGATTTGGGGATTTCCCGGTTACGCGGCTGTCGCATTGCGTGTCGCATCGCAAAAAAGCTTCTGTGAATCCCGCTTAAAACCGCTACTGCAGTTTCTTTTCTTTTAGTGCCTTTCCAGTGTTCTATTAGCACCCCTGGTTCTCAATCTATTGATGTTCTTCCTCTCCTTTGACTTTTAAATACCTCAGATCTGGAGTTTTACCCACTCCATACCTAATTTCAGTTTCATTTTCTATTGGTTTGATGAGACTCCCATGACAGGTATCCATTTACCTCTGGAGAATCCGTAAATACACAAACTGAAACTGAAACTGAAACTGAAAGCCGAACCCTCATCTACAGCAAGTCAACAAATATTCGGCGTATATTTAATTTCGGCTATTTTCGGCCTGGTCGTGTTGGCCGAATATTTGTTTGCGGCCGAAATTTTGTTTCGCAATGCTCAGTGTGACAGTGTATACAGGTGGCAGCAGTACAGGCTGAAAAAATTATCAACAAGTGTGTTCTTACCGGGGGGTCTCAACTAGGGGAGGGCATTTTCACTCCACTGGACCTGGGTGTGTGTGTGGGGAGGGGGGGGGGGGGATATCAACTGGGAGAGGGCAAATTCACTCCACTGGGCCTGGGTGTGTGTGTGGGTGGGGGGGGGGGGGGTGGCTAGGGGGATCTCTGTAGTTCTGGCCTATCAGAACTCTCATTGAGCACTCTCAGTGACCTGCATTCAAGGATCCTCCTATGCAGGTACATGTCATCGTACAAGCTGCCCAGAGTCACACATGACAATTACGCACGCCCAAGGGACTGAGGCCGAATGTCCTCAATCTTAACGTGCCCTCAACTCCTATTTGCACCCATCATCATACAATACCGTGAAAGCCCGAGTATAGGCCCCGGCTGTGCAGAATAGTAGCCTCGATTTCCTGGGCGTATACAAGGGCACGGGCGTTATTTTGGAACCGGGCATATACTTGGAATAGGGATAGCAGTAAGTATTGGATAGCAGTAAGTATTGGGTATCAGTACCTGTACATGTACTGGTGTTGCCGGCATACCTGGGCGTATACATGGGCATGGGCGCTATTTTGAAACAAAAGTGTTGACTTCCCCTGACTGGGCGTGTACACGGAGGGTGGGCGTAATTTTGAGTGGGCGTACACAGGGGCTTTTACGGTATGTACGTCGTTTGCTCATCCAGGAACAATGGGAGCAAACTGGAACTCAAACTGACCTTGCACTTCTACGCGAAAAGTTTGGGAACTAGCGCCGAGTTGACATGTGTAATTTCCAGTTAGGTTGGAGCTGATACTGACAGGCCAGTGTAATCGACATTGAATTTGGGAGAGCCAGGATGATGAATAATAAGCCACACTGGGGATTACGGTTATGTCATGAAAAAGGTGCCTCATGCGGACTCCGTTGAAGAACCAAACCAATCCGCTAACGTTGTTGAACACATTGGTCGCGCCGATCCGAGTGAAGGTGGCCTTTGGCACTTTAATATGGCACAGAACATCCCTCATTTTCGCAGGTGCAGGTGCGTTCTCCATCACTTTGTACGGATAACTTTGAGTCGGATCATATGTGGAATCCTTGGCATCCGTGGGGAAGGCTTTTACCACCATGGTAACTGGGGCTAGAAACAGGAAATGCACCATAACACAAGCATCAAGAAAACAGTGAGATATCCTCAATTTCCACAAAGGCAGAAGAGAACAGAGACAGCCGGCTAGGTCATTGTTGTCACGCTGCGTTTCATGCACATAGCAAAGCTAAGGCAATCCGCAGACAACTGATCCTCAATTTCTGTGTGTAACCTAGATCGTATTGATGCTGGGTTGGTGCCAGTGCACCATCCATTCAAATACAGCTACAAACAAGAGAGGTCACAGAGCCGAATTCAGCCTTCCGCCCAATTGCCACCGGGCCAGCATACTCCCGTCAGGGGCGAATCCTGGAGGGGTTGCAGGGACCCCATAATTTCGTTAATGTACTACTGGCAACCATATGCATGTCCATGTACATGTACATATATCAGTTATTCAGTTTTGACTATACTGGAACCCCCCCCCCCCCCCTGTAGAGATCGCTGAATCTGATGCTGGCCGTCAAACCAAAACTCCACGCCGCATATAATCATGAAGATCAGCCGACGAAAACCTCCCTTGAACCGTGCTGCTTCCGCAGACATGCTCAGCATAGGGAAAGGAAAATATCCAGAAACACACACAAGACTACCCTACGCTCATGCACATGTCGGCAAGGTACTAGTAACCAAAACTGATGCTCAAATGCAGTTGCCATGGCACCGCAGACTCAGCGGAACGTTTTCAGGCACTTACGGAAGACTTTGAGTTGGATGGTTGCGGAGTCGTTGCTGACAGCATTGCTGACTGTACATGTGTAGTTACCGGTCTGAGTCAAGCTGGCTGAGCGGATATTATACGTGTTGTTTTTCGTCACAAATGATGCGACTCGGCTACCCTTATGAAACCAGGTGGTGCTCACCGGCTCGCCTCCCTTGAAGTTGCAGCCTAATGTGACAGCGGTTCCCTCTAGGGCAACTGTGTCCGGTGTGGTATCCACGATATGTGCAGGGGCTGCGGGTTCACAACACAACGCACAGGAGATAAAAGATCAAGATGTGGAGCAGCAGCAATGGGGTTAATGCATAACGCATGGCCGCCACCTTCTTCCTGAGAGGCAACTTGTCCCATATTTGGCAGGTAAAGCCAGTTGTAGTACATTATGGTGATACGCTGTTCATGGCCTTTTGGTGCGTGCGGAGCCGGTGTTGCAGTGTGTGCCGTTCTAGTGGACTTGCTCCAAAAGATCAAATGGCAGGAGTACATGTATTATCAAGAGTCCATAACCACAAGAGTGTGCAACTCTGTACATGGGGATCTGCGCGGCGGAATTCCAACATTACGTCAAAAATGACGTTAGCGTTCGTTGCGCGTGTACTACTCCGTGGTGCCAAGGCAACATCCATGCACCGCGGAATGCAGAGTTTTGTCCTCTGTGCCTCAGCGGCATGACATAATGTTGGAATTCCGCCGCGCAGTGGGCCTACAGCAGCCAGACCCCAGTTGCACACTCTTGGGGTTTTGGACTCTTGGTATTATGCATAACTTCAACGCAGCATAATCCCCACTGTTTTGAAAGCAAGTAGCAGCCGCTATGCTTAGGACCGGCAGGCACAGCCAGTGGGTGTCAGATCATGATTTAAAGGGAAGGGAGGGGTACCCGGTTCTTGCTTGTCAGAGGGATTCGTCTTCTCCACGCCACACTCAGGGCCGGAGGCTGCTTCCGCGGAGCGGCCGAAGGGCCATTTCGAAGGGCATGTACCTGCATCATGTACCTGCATCTGGGGTCCCTCCCCCAGAAATTTTTGTGGAATTTAGACGGAAAATCCTGCACTCTGGGCGACTCCCTGTACAAAATCATACATCGAAACTTTTCTCCCCGGTTTTGTACGTTCCACGTGGACCGACTTTTTGGGAAGTTGGTACGGCCATGGCCGTACCATCCGTACCAGTGGCGCCGGCCCTGCACACTGCACCCCGCAGATGCCTGTGAAGTGTGAACAGGTGGTCGGTGGGCTAGGGGTGGACCTGTACAACTACGTGGGTGTAGCTGATGGTGTTTTTTTGGCACGTATACCAGCGGCTGTGAGACAAAGTCCCACCCACCTACCACTCTTCACAGGATCTGCAGCTGAGACATTTTGCATGTGACTGGCACTGGTGCCACAACCCATCTCACAAGTGTCGAAAATCCCATCGGTCGAAACCATGTACCTCTTGAGCCTGGCCGCAAGTTCCGCGTCGACTGTGGGTAACACCGTGGCTGAAAGATCCGCTCCCAGGCAGGACTTGAACCTGGTATCTCTCGTACCTCAATCATGGTCTGAGGCCAAACCACTTTGTGTACCTGCTTGAGGTTAATTCCCCCCGCTCCCAACGCTAAGCACTGTATCTGCGGCCGGATCACAAGGTCTCACTATACCGTAAAGTACAGTGAGATTGCCCCACCATTCATCCTCGCTCTGGTCGTCTTGTGGAGGTGGTGTCCTGTCTGAGGGTAATACGAATCGAGCCTGGTACGCACATTGCAAGTCTATCAGTCAATCCATACTCAATTTACCTTCGAGCGGATTCGAGCTTAACACAAAAACCTGCTAACTGTGACCTTTGTGCACCAAGTTTCTCTCACGGTACAAACTTCGTTGCACTCTGGCATATGATTTCTGATTTCCCTGGCTGTGAAATGAAGGTGGAGCGCTCCCGTGAGACTCGAGATAATTCACGGTACATGTATTTGAAGTGGACACAGTGCCCCGGGTCGGGGGGGGGGGCATCCCGGGTACTAGCTACAAACAGGGCCCTTTGCCCCATGCTCAGGCAAGGACAGGGCGTTCTACATGTGGCAGAACAGCAGAGAGCAACACATCCATAGCAGAAAGGATATTTCGGTCTCTGTTGCTCTGAAAATATGCGACGAGCCTACAAAAGTTTCAAAATTGCGAACACAAGGTTG